ACTGCATTCCTAATGGAAAAGAGTTCAGTTTCATTAGTGAAATATGCAAAAATATGCAGAATTTTACCCTGAAGGAGATTATGCTAGAAATTCAGGCAAAGGAGCTTAACATAATAGTGCGCTAGTAAGTCAGTTCTCTGCATTCAAAGATTTTAACTTTTGCTCTGCCATCTTCAGTTGGATCTGGATTTCAAATCACAGCAGTGTATCTTCAGCTCTTAAATCTTAATTAGCCTGGCAAGCAGACCAACCCCTGGGTAAGAAAGAAAACTGACATGCAGCTCATGCATCACACATTGTACAATTGGGAAGGGATACAGAGGAAGATTGTAAGTACTGATGCTTCTTCATCACAGTCATAAAGAAGTTGCATCAGTGTCTGCACAACTCTAACATGTAGTACAAATCTGTGAAANACAGACACTATTATAGTCACACACCCTATCTATACTCTCGTGTATAGCTGTATGCATTCATTCACATTTCCTACACACACTCACACACACACTCTCTACATACATTCACAACCTTATCTATATGCTCACACACATTTTTGCACACACACACAAACATTCTAATACGCTCACGCACTCTATATACACACACATTTATATACAGTCATGCCTCGCTTAACGAAGGGGATACATTCTGAGAAATGTATTGTTAGTTAATTTTGTCACTGTGTGAACACCACAGAGTGTAGATAGCATAGCTTACTACACACCTAGGCTATATGGTATAGCCTATTACTCCTAAGGAATGCATTGCCCTATGACATGATGATGACTATGATGTCACTAGGTGATAGGAATTTTTCAGGCCAATTATAATTTTCTGAAACCACGATTGTATGTGTGGTGAATCGTTGATCAAAATGTCATTATGTGGCCCATGACTACACTCACATTCCCTACATACACTCACACACATACCCTAGAATGCAAGTTACCTACATACACTCACACACATACCCTAGAATGCAAGTTAAATCTTTAAGCACGCCTCTCCACAAACTTATTGTGGAGTGGAAAGAAAAAACAAAAGGGGTTTACTATTTGGCTACTTTTATGTAGAGTGCAACTTCTTTTACTAAGGATAGGTATTACTGGTAGGATAAATTCACTGTAGAACACATACCTAAACATCCTGAGGTTTTATATATGGCAGCAATTAAGCAGAGAATACAAGTAGGAAACTAGACTTTATTTTCTTAGCAATAAAAACTTCATTTGGAATGACCATTATACTTGCTACAGGAGAAATGCAGATTGCTTGAACCACAGTCACATTAGACAGCCTAAGATGTTACTAACAGGTGAACACGTAAAAGTGCAAAATGACGTTCTCCTGATTTATAGATATATTTTTCCTCTTTGACATCATAATATTTAATACAAGGACTACATGGGGCTATAGCTGACTTTTTTTTTCATTATTATTGCAATTCTTTACTGCATTCCTAATGGAAAAGAGTTCAGTTTCATTAGTGAAATATGCAAAAATATGCAGAA